AGTAGATCTATATAGAGATCAACCCTTGTTTGGTTCCTTTGCTGACGTAGGTAACAAAATGAAAGCCTGTAATAATGAGATTATTCTACTGTTTAGCTCCAGGTGAGGAGGCCATTGGGGGAATCATTTATGAAGCACTGGTGTATCTTTTTGGCGCTTTTGGAGTGTGTGAATGTGTGTGCTGCTGTGTGATGTGAATGGTAGTATTTATAGTGTGTGTGCGAGGGCTGGAAGTGGAAGGGCCGAGCCAATATTCTTCCTGCCTGGGGCTCCGGTTATTGATTTCCCTTCTCGCTGGCAAGCGCAGCTATAAATATCTGCCGTGCATGGAAACACTAATGACATGACACACTCATAAACACCTAAACACAAACCTGAATGCATGACCACATCCACTGGTGTGTTTGAAACATTTCTGACAACACATTGACCTTTTGTTCAAACAAAAAAAAGAAGAAACAAAAATAAGAACAAAATGTATTATAATCATAATAAGTCTGAGAGCTGGATAAATGTCAGACAGACAATTTCTTGTCATCATTCCTTCAATTAATAAATCAGCTCAATCTATCTCAGCTCAAACAGTTTGTTTCCTGATTATTATATTTGAAAAGTCTGGTGGGGTCTGACGATAACACATTTATATATTAACAGCAGATATTGTCTTAGAATTACACTTTTACTGGTTCATGTGTTACAAGGTGAGCTTGTTAAGTTGTTTTTAACCCTACTGTTGTTAATCTAGCTACACTAAATCTGCTTTTTAAACACTTGAGCTATCAGGACTTTCTGAGCTAAATCAGCTCTTACTTAAAAAAAATAGGTAAAGTTCAGATTAGCTGGATAAATTAATAATTAGATATCGAGTTCAGATAAATAAATAAACAGCTACTGTATACACAAGGGTTCCCAAACCTTTTGATGTCAAGGACCCCCACAGTAGATCCATATTAGACCGTGGACCCCCACATTAAGAAGAATTAGTTTTGAGGAACCTCTCTGAGTAGTTTTTTAGTTATTCAATAAAAACTGTGAACCCTATTTCTCTCCATGTTGTTCCAACTTCCACAAATGTGATTCAAGCTAAAATATTATTTTCCTCCTTTTACTAAGGACCTCCTACAACCCACTCCAAGACCCCTGTTAGTCCCCAGACCCCAATTTAAAAACCACTGCAGCATAGAGTTCACATTAGCTAGATAAGCTCTCACACAGAAAATAAATATTGACTTCAGATGAGGTAAATTAATTCCAATGAAGAAAATAATTAGATGTATAGTCCACACGAGCTCTCACACAAAGAATAATTAGATATGGAGAGCAAAATCAGCTGCATCAGCTTTCACAAAGAACATATAAATTTAGTTCAGGTGAGTTACACTAGCTCTCAGAAAATACTGATATAAAGTTCAGAGAGCTAAATCAGCAATAAATTAAGTAAATATGGGGTTCAGGCGACCTGTATCAGATCTCACATAATTACTTTCATCCAAATCTTTGTAATTAATATGAAGCCTGCCTCTCATTATCACATCGTATTTCTAGACTATTTTTTACAATATTGTGCATTTGCCAGAAATAACTCTAGAACCATGAAGAACATTTTTTAATTAGCAAAATGACATTGAAGTGGAGATGATTTGCAATTTGTGAAGCGAACTAGACAATCGTGAATCGTACTGATGTTTTTAGGAGAATTTATTTATGTTCAGTCGTATTTTTCCTTTCTTCATAAAGCACCGTAAGAGCTACAGGACATAAATTACACACATTTGCTCTTATGGTCTCAAGACAGATAAAAGCCCTTACTATGAACACTGCTGTATCCCATTAAACAAATGAGCATTAACTAAAGCATTTGCTGTTTGTATATCACTTTAAGCATATGCATAAAAAACTGTAAAGTTAGCATTACTATGTAATTCATTCACACATTTCAATGAAAGGCTAACGTTAGCATTGACAGACAAACATTTCTACTTCTGCGCCATCAAAATCAACAAAATCACATTTCACTAAAGAGAGCCTTAAAGGACGAGATGAGTCCAACATTACCTTGTTCCCGTTCCTGCCAGGCGCTTAATTATCAATACAAAACCTCAGTTTTCTGAGCAACGTTGCAACAACAGTGAAGCATAAATTTCCTTCCTGGACAAGTGGCAATTTGCAGGCTTATAATAATAAAAGGTGCAATCAAACCAAAAGCTTACAGGAACAGTTACTATAATAAGAGTAATTTGCAATTTGAGAGAACAAATTATTATTAATATATTTAACACAATGATGTCTCCAAATTGTCTTCATGATGTGTTCCAGGCTCGGTACATTTCCATCCTTGTGTAGAACAAAATCGGGGAAAGCAAATGTAAAAAAGGACTCGATTTAGCCAAGACCACAACTCCAACGGTATTAAAACAGTATACTAAATGAAATATTAACAACATTTCAGTTGAGAAACTCCTGCCTTAATAAATAAGCCTCAGAGAAGCAGTTAGTAACAGTCAATAATGAGCTTCACATTACGTCTGAAATAGGAAAACTATGTAGGAAACTCCAGATGTTTTAAATAGGAAATTCTTATCATATTTATATAATACATATCATGATTATTGTCTGGATGGAACAACGATAGAGGAAAAACAATGAGATATTTATAGATCATTGCAGTCTGCTCTTTGCTTGTGTCTCAACAGTTTACAACAAATCAGTGGAGAAGTTACACAACCTGCAAAGCCTCTTTTCCTTGATTCAACCTGGAGAATTCAAAGGTCACAGACTGCATCAACAACCGTGTCAGGATTGGATTAGAAAGCTCGACCCAAACAGATAGTTAGCCAGCGATTGGCCTGCGTCACCGATGATGAGTTTGACAGAAATCACTTCAGTTATAAGTTCTTTGTGACAAGAGATCTTATCAACCGTGTTGTTTTTACAGCTGAAAATAGGTGTTGGCTCAGCCACATAGAGTCTTAAGAAGTACCAGGAGGTCAACGCTCTGACTGAGTTCATTCAGGCCAGCTTTGGTTATGTAAATCATAATTTCAACCGTGTAATGGTAAAAGACCATTGCAGGCACAACGCTCACACTGGGATTACAATAGCATATTGTTGTTTACAGTGTGCTGTAAAAGAAACTGACTGACCCCAAAAGTAACAAGAGCTTCTGTATAACTGAGGTATTCTGACCTTCTCAGAGTCAGACTGGAGACAGTCCCGTTGTTTGAGGAGGAAAATCCAGTTTGCTCTTTTCGAAATTATTTGTGGACCAAATGATAATAGAATAACAAGAAAACTAATTATTAATTCTAACATATATTCTGTGACAAGTGCATGACAAACATTCATAACGAAGACAAATATTCTTTGTTTGCAGACAATAAAAGCCACACCAGTGTAGTGGTTGTCTGTTGGTCAATCCAACACTTCCAGAGTTAATACAGAAATATTTCAACAAATCTTCCATTCCCAACCATATTCAACATGTTTCTGCTGAAGGACATGTGAGGGGCAGAGGCAAAGAAAAAAACTCCTAGAGTCCTAGATGCCATTTTATCAAATATTCTCCACTGGAAGAGCACCTTAGAAGGCACTTTATTGTGTTGTCTCCACTAGAAGGGGACCCTATTATTGTTGTTATTATTGTTATTATTATTATTATATTATTGTTATTATTGTTATTATTGTTGTTATTGTTATTGTTATTATTGTTATTATTGTTGTTATTATTTACACATTCAGCAGACACAAAGTGACTCTCCTTTTACTTCTGGTTTGGGCTCAGTTTGGGAAGGTTGAGTATCGTCCACCAATCAGAAGGTTGCGGTTCGATTCCCGGCTCTTCCTGCTGCATGTTGAAGTGTCCTTGAGCAAGATACTGAACCCCAAACTGCTCCCAGTGCTGTGCATCAGTGTGTGAATGTGTGTGTGAGGCATGTAGTGCAAAGTGCTGTGAGTGGTCAGATTATTAGACTGCATATAAGTGCTCCACTTTCTCCACCAGTTGTCTCTAACTGATGAGACTGAACCAAAAACAATAAGTTGAAGCTCTGCAGGGTGACAACTTTCACATTACACTGAATCCGTCATTAATGTAAAAACATTGATTAGAGCTGCAGTGTTGCCGCAGGTGTTATTATTAATGTACAGGGGCAGGTACTGACAGGTAATGCCCCCGAGAGCTTTACAGATTTAAAGGGATGAGTCACCGCTGTGTTTGGCCCAGTCACCGTCCTCAAGTCCTGTCCTACTTTCCTCTCTCACCGTGCTTTAGCAACCGCTGTTGCTAAGGAAGTTTTAATGAGAGCGAGGCTGATAAGGATTTACCGAGGACTCACATATAGCTGCTGTATGTCTGACTGCAGGTCAGGGGTCACAAACTAAAGTGTGTGTATGTTTCTACCATCAGTACAAATACTTTTATTTGTACACTTTACAGAGTTTATTCCTCTCCTCTCTTGTTTCCTATGTTTCCTTTCCTTATATTGTCATTTCCTTTCCTGTTTCCTACCTCATTCCTCTCCTGCTGTTTCCTCCATTACTTTCCTTTCCTCTTCCCTTGTTTCTTCCTCATTTGTCTCCTCCTCTCCTCTTCCCTCCTC